GATGATACATCCAATGTATACACTCGTGATGGGAACATTCATTGTACTTACCAGAGTAAACACATTATCATCTCTTCCCCGGATGACCTGTTTAACATTGGTATCGAGGCAGATCTCAAGGAACTAGGACTCGAGCACCTCATCTAGGATGCGTCGGAGGATGAGACCATTTCCTCATTGACAGACTCTTCTACTAGTCAAAATAACTTTGATATTTCTGTTTCTGTTGAAAATTGTTCCGATGTTGACAGTTCATTTATCTCTACTGACCATGCTGTGATTGACAAAGTTACGGACAAGTGCAGTTCTACTTGTAATCAATATAATATTTCAAACAATGAGAATGATGTGTTTGATATAAATAACCATAAAAATGTAGATGTAAAAATATAAATTAATCATGACCACTTCTATTGCATTCCATTTGAATCTCAAATAGTTAAATTCTACTTTCTGAATGTTTGTGTTTGGTATCCAAGTTACTGATACCAGACTTTATTGATTTTATTAAGGACTTTGATATTTTTGTATAGTTGAAACTAAACTAGACCAATTTGATAATGTTAATGTTGAGGGGTTATACATTTAGATCTATAAATAGAGATAATTGTAAACGTGGATCTGGAGGTGTTGGGGTTTTTTATAAAAAATTCTCTGATAAAAAATGTAATATTTCTTGATCACGCCACTGAAAACTGTTTATGGTTTAAATTTAAAGACAGATCCAGCATATTTGGAGTAGTGTATATTCCTCCAGAAAGTTCTAAATATAGTTCACTAGATTTGTTTGTTGAATTGGAAAATAGTATTCTTAATTTCAACACTGTTTATGATGACTGTGATTTTTGTATATTTGGAGATTTTAATGCAAAAAGTGGTAGACTTGCTGACTTTACAGACTTAAATAAGTACATTGCTGATAGGTTTTTTGATAACAGTACAAAACAATTGATTGGACAAAGTCGTCTTATTGAATTAGGATTTCCTGTTGATCGTTACTCGCGTGATATGCATAACTGTAACAATTATGGTAATAGACTTCTTCAGGTTTGTAAATTTACAGATGTCCATATTGCTAATGGTCGATGTGGTGCTGATGCCTATATAGGAAAATGCACAACTACAAATACTAGTCTGATTGATTATGTTTTATTGTCTGCTATTAACTTTCCCAAAGTAACCCATTTTGATGTGACAGATTTTAATCCACTATTTTCTGATGTTCATTGTGGTATAGAATTGTGTTTTAATATTATTGGAAAGGATCTTACTTGTAATGTAGATAATTCAGTTTTGCAAAACGATAACAATGAGGCCATTATTAAATCAACATGGGATAAAAATCTGAAGGATGATTATATAAATCAGTTTGATAATATCGATACAAATAATATTACAGAAGAAATGATTAAAATATTAAATGATAAGAATTATAATGATGAATGTATTAATTCCTTGACTGAAAAACTGTCAAGTATCATAACTAATGCTGCTAAAAGGTGTAATTTAATACAAGAAAAAAAAAGTATTTCACAGAAAGAAAAAAATGCAAAATTGACCAAAAAATGGTTTGATAAAGATTGCTCGAATTTAGAAAGGAAATATTACCTAAGCAGAAATACCTATAGGAAAAATAAAACCGAAGGTAATAAAAAACCTTATGATGATAAACAGTAAAAGATTATAAAAAAGAATTAAATAAAAAGTTTAACAGTTCAATGACAATGTCATAAAAAAACTGAGAGGACTAAAGCATAGTGATCCTAAATCTTATTTGAGTTTATTAAATAAATATTCTTCTGATAAAAAAGTGATAATAAATAAAATAACTAATGAGGTTTTCCATGAGCATTTCAGTAATTTGAATGCAGATATTTTAAGAAATGAAAATGACGTAGATAATTTTAATGTTTAACAACTTACCAATGTTTAATGAGGCACTGAATTCGCAATTTACTGAGCAAGAAATAGATAAGGCTATAAAGGCGCTTAAGAATAATAAAAGTCCATCTATATTTGATAATATTATTAATGAGTATCTCAAAAATGCTCCTGATAATCTGCTGGCTGTACTTAAGCTATTTTTTAACATTATATTAGACTCTGGTATCTTTCCGGATGTGTGGAGCAAGGGAGTTATCTTACCATTGTATAAAAATAAAGGGGATGTTAATGATCCGGATAATTACAGGGGCATAACAATACTCAGTTTGCTTTGGAAAACTTTTCACTTCGGTACTTAATAACAGATTAAATGACTTTTTGGAATCAAAACAACATTCTATGTGAAGAACAAGCAGGTTTCAGGAAGCATTATAGTACTGTTGATCACATATTTTCATTAAAACTTCTAGTGGACGTATATCTAGCACATGGAAAAAAATTGTATTGTGCATTTGTAGATTATCGCAAGGCCTTTGATTCTGTAAATCGCACTGCCATGTGTCATAAAATTATTAAGTTACAATATTGATGGGAAATGCTTTAAAATAATACACTGTCAATATGTATGACAAAGCTAAGTCATGTGTTAGTTCGAATAATACAATTTCAGATTTTTTTCACTAGTCATACTGGAGTAAGACAAGGTGAAAACTTATCTCCAATATTGTTTTCTCTTTTCTTGAATGATCTAACTAATTTTATGTCTGATAAATATGAAGGTTTGCAGTTTCTAAAAGAACATATAAATGATATGTTAAGTGATGATGAAATGGAAGTTTATCTTAAACTGTATTTACTATGTATGCGGATGACACTGTAATATTGTCAGAGAGCTCTCAGCAGCTTCAGTTAGCATTAAACGCTATGTCTGACTACTGCAAGCTTTGGAATCTTGAAGTAAATACAAATAAAACCAAAGTTATTATATTTTGGAAAACCAAGAGAGGTTTGCGTAATATGCCTAACTTTCACTATGAGGGGACTGTCCTTGAAATTGTTGAGTATTTCTCATATTTAGGTGTCCAATTTTCATTTAATGGTAAATTCAGCAGAACTAAAACATTCCTTATTGATCAAGCCCGTAAAGCCATGTTTTCTGTTATTAGGAAATCTAGGATACTTAATTTACCAATAGATATGCAATTACACTTGTTTGATACAATGATAGCACCCATTTTGTTGTATGGGTGTGAAGTTTGGGGTGTTGAAGATGTGAGTGTTGTGGATAAATTTCAATTAAAATACCTAAAGATAATTCTACAGTTGAAACAGAGTACTCCAAATGTTATTTTTTATGGGGAGTTGGGTATTACCCCACTTTCAACACAAATTAAAAGTAGAGTTCTCAATTACTGGGGTAAAATAGTTAATTCTAAACATGATAAGATAGTCAGCATTCTATATAGAACAACTCATAATTTATATACTCTGAATAATATTAAATCAGATTGGGTCTGTTTTGTTCGAAATAATTTAAATGATCTTGGATTGTCGCATTTTTGGATAAATCAAAATGTGGAATCTCCTGCTTCATTCAAGAATACTGTCAACTTAAGATTGCGTGATCATTTTATGCAAAATTGGAGAAGTACAATTAATAATTCCAGTAAATGTCTAAATTACAGGATTTATAAACAGGATTTTTGTTTTGAGCCATACCTCAGCAAGTTACCTATGAATTTAGCTTTAATTCTCTTTAAATTTAGAAGTATGAATCACAAACTTCCTATTGAAAAAGGAAGGTTTGATGATATTCCAAGAGAACTTAGAACTTGTAACCTATGTACCAGTAACTCTTTAGGCGACGAATTCCATTATCTTTTTGAATGTTCATATTTAGTTAATACAAGAAAGCTGTATCTTGATAAATATTTCTATGAACGTCCAAGTGCTTTAAAATTTGAAAAATTAATGAACCATAGTAATAAAGATATCCTTTTGAAACTTGCCATCTTTTGCAAAAATATTATGTTATTATTTAAATAATGTTAGCTTATAAGATTATGTATTTTCTCTTTGTTTTTTCTCGCAATGATTTTTGATTTTTCTCTCTCATCCTCCATTATCAGTCAATTATTACAGTAATTTTATTACACCATGGAGTTGTATGACCATTTATAATTTGCCATTTTGTAGTATTTTGTTTTTACATATTATTTGCCATTTTGTATTATTTTGTATGTATGTACTGTTTTATGTTGTCATATGCCCATATGGGCCCTGACGTATTCAAATAAACATTGAAACCTTTTACCGGTTATTCCCCGTTGATTAAAAGGGCCAATTCTATTGCAAAAACCTAATTAATTTTATTTTAAATCATACTTCGAAACTCTTAGTGTGCTATGCAAACTGCGGATACATAATACACAATGTCAGCATGCGACAAAAATTACCATGATTTTTGTAAAATAAATACTGAAACCCTGTAAGAATAAAATGTGTGTCAAATGAATTTGAGCAAATTCAAAGAAAAGGAAAAATATTTGAAAGCCAGCAAATTAAATATCTAATTACATGTATATTTTGCATGTTTACAGCCTTAGAAATGAAGTGTAAATCGAATATTCGCATATTTCAATAAGAACTCGAGTTAAGTCAGCAAGTACAACATCTTAATATTGCATACTGATTACAACGTATTAATAATAATGTCTTCATATTAATAACAATGTTTTTCATAATAATAATAATAATGTCTTCCTATCAATTAGAATGTCTTCAAAAAAATAAGAATGTCTTCATATTAATTACAATGTATCCATATTAATTAGAGTGGCGGATAATCCCTTCCATACAGTTTTACTTTGGCTGAGTAACCTTTAAAGATACTTCTTGTTTCGCGTGTTTTTCATGACCGGGTCTGTCTGACTAGAACAGACCTATCCGAAAAATAAAGACCTGTCACAAACAATAGAGGAGGTGTGCTAATATATAAAACAAAAACAAACATATACAGTAGAATTAAAATAGATCTATATTTTTTTTTCAAATTAAATGCAAAGGATTATTTATGGCGAAAAAAACAATTTATGTAAATATCATGTTGAACATACCTTTTCTTCTGTATCTCTACGGGATGAAGCAATGAAGCAATTCTGAAACATCAAACAAAATTCTCTTTTTGATATGCAGCATTCCACCTTTATTTGCGTCATTAACAAACCGGGTGCATGATTGATCGATATTTACATAATCCAGGTACAACTCGATGAGTAATATATAATAACAATAAACTTGAATTTGATTGGGTCTTCCCGAACGTTAAGAATAAGTTTAATACAGTAAACTCCGCTGATAACGAACTCCTTTTGACATTCAAAATATGTTCCTTATATCCGAAGTTCCTTAAATTGTAAGCAAAATTAGTTCATTGTATCAGGAGTTTTAATAGCGAACATATTTACGTATAACGAACTGATTGTTTACCATCGTCCGCCATTTTGAAGAGCATTTGATTAAGAAAAATGAGTCATTTATTTCCTTTTTAGACACAATACCCGACAGCGTACATTTTTGGACTTTGAAAATCCTTTACTATTTAAAGAAAATCCTTTACTTTTATAGTATAACAAGGTGTAAATCGTGATGGTCATATTTACAACTGCTCTGATTTTTTTGTAATTTTAAAACACTTAATGGATTTAATTGTGGATGAAATGTACTTTTTAGTTAGAAGTTTTCATCTTAGAAGCGTATATTTCTTGAAATTATCTGATTTTGACCTTATTGTGCAATTTTCGAAGCATTCCTCTTTGTTCTACTGACATAAATATTGGATTTTCAAAAATAGGTTATCATTTGCAAAGTGAACGATAATCGCTGTGATTCTTGTATTTGTGGAACAATAGAGATTGACCACCGTGTTTCGCTATGAATACAATATACTATTATACTTTGGCAACAGTACCTGTCTTTATCTAGTTCAATATAGATTGGGTATCTACCTGCCCGGCAATATACAATATAAAAGTAGCCAAACAAGAGAAAACAAACTTGTTAAGTGTGTTAACTTTTTTGATTATTGAATGAAATATTATTTTATCAAATAGAAGTAAAACAACAAACGGCATATTTTCAGTTAATCAGTTTAGGAACGAATGAAATTCTTGAACAGGACGTTTTATATACATTCTCACATATAATGGAGCATTATACTCGGTGTGTCAGCAACTAACACACGGGATAATAATTTACATACTGAAGTTTATTGTGACTATTATTCATTGCAAAACAATTTGAAATATAAACTGAATGGTCTATACCTAAAGTCAAATGATATATTAAGTATGTTAATATGTTTATGTTTGTCATGATATTGAACATCCTTTAGTTGATTTCTTATAACAATAAAATTAATGATAAAATCAACGGAAGTAACCAATTTGATGAATGTATAGAAAATCAAGTGGTACAGTATCATGATCAAATTTTATAATTAATTAAACAATGTTAAACTGACAGACTAACCTAGATTTGAATTCGAATAACGTCGTATATAATTTCTAAAAGATACTTTTCTTACATAGGAAAAATATAAATGACTGAAAGTTTTTTTTATAGTTTTTGAAAACGGACGAAAACATATAGATCTATATTTAATACATTTGTTCAGTGAAATGATGGGGATTTTTGGGAAAGCCGTTCTTGTAGGATTTGTGGCATATCTGGTATATATTTATTTCCAACCAAATTCTTCTAAAATAGCAAACGCTATAAATGATGAATTCGATTACGTTATAGTTGGGGCGGGATCCGCCGGAGCGGTATTAGCATCACGATTGTCAGAGGACCCCAATATAAGTGTTCTTCTTTTAGAAGCTGGCGGCGAAGAGACAGACAACCCGTTGTTTTCTATCCCTGTCGCAGCCCCAAAACTCTGGCAAACTGAATGGGACTGGGAATATTACACTGTTCCCCAGAAAGCAACCGGGCTCGCAAGTGGTAAACATCCGGGTATGCATTTCTGGCCCGTTGGAAAGGTTCTTGGAGGTACTAGTATGATAAATATGATGAACTATGTACGTGGAAGTAGATATGACTATGATGGATGGGCCAAGGAAGGATGTGAAGGTTGGGCCTATGATGACGTATTACCTTACTTTTTAAAGTCAGAGGATATGCTTGATGATGAACTAAAAGATTCAAAATACCATCATACCGGTGGACCATTAGGAGTTACATTGGATGACTATGTGCCATTAACAAAAACCTTTGTGGAGGCGGGAAAGGAACTCGGATATGAAGAGGTGGATTATAATGGGGTAAACCAGCTAGGTTTTAGTATATCACAAGTTAATGTAAGAGGAGGAATACGAGCGAGCACTGTTCGAGAATTTTTAAGACCCGCTATGTCACGAGAAAATTTTCATGTTGTCATTCGAGCACACGTGTCTAACGTTAACATTCAAAACAATACCGCTGTTGGCGTTTTCTTCATTCGAAATGGTGTCAAGAGAATGGTAAAAGCAAATCAAGAAGTTATTCTGTCTGCTGGAACGATTGGATCATCTCAAATATTGATGTTGTCTGGAATCGGGCCAAAAGAACATCTTGAAAGTTTGAACATACCTGTCATAGCAGATCTGCCTGTCGGAGAAAACCTTCAAGATCATATGTACAGTGTGTTACGAAGTGATATAAATACGACAGATAGCATAACGAAAGATAAAGCGGAATCGATTTCAAGCATTGCTAGTTATGCTCTCTCAAAAACAGGTTTCTTGACATCAACATCTTTAACAGGAGTTGCTTTTACTAAATCAAAGTACTGCAAAACAGATTATCCAGACATCCAGATTCATTTCTACGCTCAACAACCGCCAGCATATGAAAGTAAATACGACAATAGTTTTGCAAATGATTTACTTCATAGCGACTGGAAAGAAGGGTTCCTTATATTGCCAATAATCTTACATCAAAAGAGCCGCGGGAAAATTACATTGAAAAGTACCGATCCTTTTGACTATCCCGATATTGATCCAAATTATCTCGCCGAAAAGGAAGACATGGACGTTTTTGTTGAAGCTTTAAAGCTTGGAATGCAGATTATTGAAACCGAGGCTTTCAAGAAAGTTGGAGCGGATAGAAATCATATGAGAATTGAAACTTGTAAAGAACATGAGTTCATGTCGTACAAATTTTACGAATGTTTAATACGTCATTTTGCTGTGACCGTTTATCATCCGACGTCAACATATAAAATGGGATCATATAACGACGCGAATTCTGTAGTTGATCCTGAATTAAAGGTCAAAGGTATTAACGGTTTACGTGTGGTTGATGCATCGATTATGCCGACTATTGTATCGGGAAATACAAATGCCCCTGTTATTATGATAGCTGAAAGAGCTGCAGATCTTATCCTAAAAAGGGACACAGTCAGTCGCATAAAAGAACATATAAACAGCGCTAACTGAAATGCGAGCATTATATAATAAAACTTCATTGCATATTCTGTAATATATACCAACTACAAATATCAGAATCGACATAAGATTTCTTGCGTATTTAGTCACCGTATCATGTATCGTTTGATATTTCGAAATTCTTAATTTAACACGTTTTCCTTCTAAGAAACTAAACAGTCGGTGTTGAACAGTTGGCTAGTGACTCGAAGACTATCCGTTCATTACTGCACATGAAAGGACCCTGTGCTATATCTTGGTGTGGAACCACTGACAAACTGTACATAAGTTGTCACAACTATATAATGAAGAGGATAATTATATTAAAGTTACCAAAAATGAATGAATGCAAAGCCCATACAGAGTATTACAAGACGTAGCACTCAACTGAGGAACAAAAGCAAAGAAACATTAGATTTGAATATCTTACAAAGAAGTTTAAGATAAATCAATTAAGATGGGAAAAACCTGCAAAGGATGATATAAAAATTAAAAAAAAAAAGAGCCGTGGCATGACAAAACCAACATAGTGGGTTTGCGACGAGCATGGATCCAGACCCACCTGCGCATTCGCGCAGTCTGATCAGGATCCATGCTGTTCGCTTATAAACCCTATTACAAGTACCGAAACTGATAGCGACCAGCATGGATCCTGATCAGACTGCGCGGATGCGCAGGCCAGTCTGGATCCATGCTGTTCGCAAACCCACTATGTTGGTTTTGTCATGACACGGCTCATTAATATAGTCAAAATTAAATTGAACATCGATGTTTTTGCGAGTCATAGCCGGATTTGATTACAACGCTTTTCATTTTTAGCCGTTTGGTACAAGAAAGATGAACATTCTAGAAAAATGGGGTGAATGAATGACTTGAAAATTTGCATACATGTTACTGGTCCAGACGTGCACAAACCTCGGGAAAATTAAATTTCAAGTCCCGTTATGTCTATACCAATGGCATCTATTCGAATTTGTACTTGTTATGGCACTGAATACATATAATTGTCATATAGACCATGCCATTACCAAACAGAAGTAAGAAATTTAGATTATAAATCACTTTAAACTAAAAGAAATTCACTGAGGTTTATTAACAAATGTTTATATTTTTCTAGAAATACGAAGAAACAATGTCATCGCTGCGACCTCGCTTCTATAAACAAAAGTAACACATATATATAAAAGCGTAAAAATATAATCGGATTCATTTGCATATTATCAACATATAACACCATTGGGAATCGGTATAGGTATATGGTCAATCAGTAAATGTGCGTAAAAGAATATCATTTTTATTGTTGAGAACGAAAACTGCTGATTATCTTTTTACTTTTTTAGCTCACCTGAGCTTGCTCAGGGTGAGCTTTTAGGATCGGTGAATGTCCGTCGTCCGTCCGTCCGTCGTACGTCCACAATTGCTTGTGAACACTCTAGCGGTCGCATTTTGGCCTCAATCATCATCAAACTTGGTCAGGATGCTTATCTAGTTAAAAGCTCGGATGAGTTCGAACATGGCTCATCTCGGATGAAAAACTAGGTCACAAGAGCTGAAAATAGAAAAACCTTGTGAACACTCTAGAGGTCACATTTTTTACCCAATCATCATCAAACTTGGTCAGGATGTTTGTCTAGGTGATAGCTCGGATGAGTTCGAACATGGGTCATCTCGGATGAAAAAGTAGGTCACAGGAGCTATAAATAGAAAAACCTTGTGAACACTCTAGTTGCTTCTCCAAATCCCTCCAGAGGCGTGCACGTCGCGGAGAAGGCACACGGCAGGTCAAGGTCAAATCATCTCAAGTA